AATGGATGGCCTCCCTTTCTTATATTAGCATAATCTGCCAATTTATTACGAAAGAGTGAATGACTGTTTGTGATTAAAGCTAGTCATGGCAGGTCACTTGAAAACTTATTGATGGTATGTGAGAGATGCTTTTTAATTAAAATGTAGGACTAGGTTGGCAAGCCGACACTGATTTCTCCTTACCCGTTACATTTATTGAGTCATGTATTTGCTTATTTATACCATTTAAAATTAACAAGGATGAGCCAGATTAGCATACAGAAGGCTCGTCCCAGAGAAAAACACAGAAGAGTCTATAATCTTTTACTTAAGGCAAGTGGAAGATACTGCCCGGAAAAATATTTTGAAAAGATGTGAACATTAACGTGATAACTGGCGTGGTAGAAAGTTTTACCAGATTTCCTAGTCACTTCTCTATCTCACTTAACTTTTTTTAAGCAAGATCAATTCCCCCACTTTCACCCACTTTCTTTCACAAAGTTGTAACTTAGGCAAGACATTCTCAATGCCCGTTGCCCAATATCCTCAGGGTTATTGTGATCTCAAAGGACGTTGTGAAATTCTCAAGGCGAAATTAATTGTGCTGTGACTTAACATTTTATAGTGAAACGTGTAGAATAAAGTGCTCCTAAGAGGAAGCTTGGTGGATGGAGAGGGAGGTTATAAATCCAGACAACGATCCCAGGGTGTCAGAACTGCAGGGCTGGGGTGGCTGGCAGTGACTCCCACTCTCAATCCGCAGACCTCTGCGGGTGAGGCAGGAGATGAAATGCAGTGCGTCCCTCTGTAATTTATATTGCCACAACATTCCATCTCGGCCACATTATTCAGTCACACAGAGCTCACACGTTCTTTTGTTGGTTCAAAGGACTTTCCAGAAGGCTTAAGTATATACTCATCTTACTGTGAGAGACGGCGTTGCTGCCTTTTGATAAAATTGTGAGTTAGGGTTCATCTGGTTGCCTGTTTTTGCTTGAAATACAATCTGACTTCTAAGCGGCCCCTTTCACTTTCACAAATAAGACAAAAAGTGGATCTGGTCCCAAATAGGACAAAAGCCAGGGGGCATCTGGTTTTGCCTCCCCCGTGGTATCTCTGCTTTGTTTTAGATTTGGGTAAGTGATAATGACCAAAAAAGGAATTCAAAGCCATGCTTTTAAGCAGAGAAGAATGCATTAAATCTCCAGGTGTGGTCAGCCAAATACGGTATTTTTCTTGGAGATATTTTTCAAAATGATAAAGAGTCAAAGTAATGAGTCAATCAGGCCACCGTAGGCTCACATATCAATCTTTTTCAAAATCTTTCTGCATCTCTATGCCCTGGGTCTTGGTTAGAAATCAGAACAGATTTCTTGTGCTTTTCAAGACAATTCTTTGTGATGCTGCTGCACCATACTTATCATCACCCTCAGCTCAATGTACCATACCGTAGTCCAATCATTAGATACTTCTGGAAAACGAAGTCATTGCACAAGGCTTAATTCAGGAAGAACAGATAAGAAACTTCACGAAATGCTGGCACCTGGTTTGTGCAGGCACAGTGAATTCCTAACCCCAACCCAGGATTCCTTGGGTACCTTTGCATCACTTTCTGATTTTTCTATTCACTCTCCTTCACTTTCCAAGTTCATAGACCTGGGCATATGGCTTATACATTATGGTTTATGAGGAAGGGTATAACGATTTTTGACTCATTTTATTGCCTTTGTGCCGCATCAAATGAAATTGGTCTTCTCTTTAATTCATCACCAGTAAAATATTTCATATGAATCTGTTGTTAATCCTGTACTTTAAAATGCTAATAGCCTGCTTAAGTATATTTTACAGACTGAACTACAGTGACCTCAGACATAGGCTTTAGTTTTGTAATAAATTGACGTCAGTTAACAATCTCGGTATGTAATGTGGAATATTGCTACAGTCACTGTGCTTAACACCTGCCTGTAAGTTAAGCCAGGAGAGATCTCTTCTGAAAAACAAATCCTTATATAACACTTCCTGGGATACTGTGTCCTTAACCCCCACAATGTTCCCTTCCTGTACTGCAGTCTTCCCCACCTGATGTCAGCAAACACACTCTTGGTATAAGACTGTGCAACAAGGAAGAACATGAACTTTGGCCTCAGAAGGACCTGGATTTGATCCTAGGTTGTGCCCAAACTTTTGATAAATTATGTAACCGTCATCAAACTTCACTTGCCTAATCTGTGAGGTAGAGATTTGATACTTACATTTCTAGGCTGGTGTAATGTCAGAAGTACTTTGCAAATGAAATGATGTTTGTGTCACAACCAGAGATGGGTGGTGAATCAGTAGTTGCACTAACTCTGTTATTCTATTGATGAGTTGTAGAACCATAAGTTATGATCTTGTATCAATCTTTTTCCCAATTATGGCCTCAAAACTTTCATCCACTCATTCATTCATTCATTAAATAATAATTTATTGAACAACTCAACCTACAGCTATAATTACAGACAATAAGAATATTATCAGTAATTAAGAGAGAAACGTTTGCTATTTCTTTTGCTAGTAGGAATCTTTTTTTTATTTATTTCATAAATAGTTATATAATTCTTGCTATATAGCAAGCACTGGTCTAAGTATCTTACAAATATTAACTAATTCAGTTATAAAAATTCTAGAGGACTTTATATTACTTTAAAACCAAACCGCTAGTCAGTGGTGGAAGCAGGAATGAGCTCTCATAGACCAGCTTCAGAGTCCATGCTCCTAGCCACTTAATCATGGTGCTTCTCCATGAATAATTGAATATGATTAATTCTAATTGTAATAAGTGACATGAAAGAGATGCATAGGACACAGTAAAATGAGGACCCCAATATCTGCCCAAAACTGACACTTTCAGAACTCATTATATTCTGTGGTTTGTGGAGTCCATGATTCCTTGAGTCTTGTTCTCTAAGCTCTTTACACCATTGACAAAATAACATGATTTAAAAATTGAACAAATATCACTCTGGTGATTTATCTGCTAGTTAACTTGCAAAAAAAAAAAATGGTCTAGGCAATTGCTTTTAAATATTATTATACAAATGTTACATTAATTTAGAAACCTTGGCTAAGTCTATTCGCATTCCTCCAACTCAGTATTTTATTTAATAAAAGCACTTCTTTCCAATTGAATGGTACAGCACTGCTAAGCTCAGTTAACCAAAAAAAAAAAAAAAAAATTAGGTACTCTGTGACCATTGCTGACAATGTATTCAGCAGCAAGTTCCTATACTAACCTGACAAAGGCAGGGCCAAAAGAGAAATGTCACTCCAGAATAAATCACAGGAAAAGTAACCAAGGTTGTCTTTTTTCTTTTTTATTATGGCCTTGTGTTTTTAAGTACTTATCTTGCTATTGGTATAAGTAGCCCTTACAAGAAAAAAAATTACTCTTTGCTAGAAAGTAAACTTCTTGCCAACAAAAATCTGTCTGTTTGATCCACTGCCATTTATATTATTAAAGTGAGTACAGGCACATAGTAGGTGCTCAATAAATCCTCTTGGAATATCAAATTTTGAACAGATGTCTCTTTGGTTACATTAGTACTAGTTAACCAAGAAAGTCTGAATAGCTTTCATATTGCCTGGTTAAAAGTTAGCCAGTTCATCTCCTTGTTTCTTTCCTTTCCCAGCTATGAAAGACCTATTCTCCCTGAAAAAATGCACAGGCAGACAGCACTTTGATGACTGTGCTCAATTTCAGCTTGCCAGATGTTTATAACTTTATTTTTAACTGCAATTAATATCTTTGTTTTGCGGTAGTGGGAGGAGAAACATAATGATATACAAGCAAAACCAAATATGCCAAAAGAATGCATATGTACTTTTGCTGGAAGGAGCGTTCAAAGTTTGACATGGTGAGTAAGTAACCCCAACTGATTAACTCTGTCCTTGACTAGAATGCTGACTCACCATATGACTAACCACACATCAGATATTTGTCTTGGGCCAACCCTGGTTGACTCATAATCGATGGTTTAAGATGAAGATCTAAGCTACCTTTGATCTTCTTGTAAGAATTTCAAAGAAGATAATACCCTGTGTACCAGCAGTGCCAACTTGACTGCCATAGGGGTTGTACCCATCTGCCATTTATTCTGACTCACTGGAGAAAAAGTTGAAACAATAGTGATTCTGTCTGTAATATAACTTTCAAATTTGCACCTGGGGCTGCAGAGGCTGATAAAGGTTATACCAAGTTGTGCAGTGTTGAAGAAATAAGCATTGAAAGCATGATGTGGGCTTTCAAAAGTAATCGTCTCCCCCACATTAGACAAAGAAATCATATCAAAAATACACCATTTTCTTTCCCCATTTTATAACCATTTACCCACTTTAAATTTTTATGTGGTCAAGAGTTGTGGGCTTTACAAGCAGAAATTGAGGAGAGTTTGATGTGAAGGATATTTATCAGGGATTAACAGCTGGAGAAGGCAGGAACCAGCAGGAAGATTAGGCAGAGAGAAAAGTCAAACTTTGAGGCCAGCCCAGCAAAACTTTTACTGGGTGCTTAGGGACCTCTGGGGAACAATATGGCCGGACCTACTTGCCCCTCAGGGAGTCAACCTGACTGGACTTTGGCGCCCCCTAGAGGTCAGTCATTGGCTGTGGGCTGCTGGGGAAAGGGCATGATCTCAGCCGGGTGGGATCTGTTGTTGCTCAGAAAGATGACAGAAGAACTGACAGCAGGAGATGAGAGGAAAGCACCACCAGGACGGCAGGCAAGTCTTTCTGAAGGGGATTTGGGTGATGCATCTCTCTGTGTACCAAGTGTATTACTCTTTAAAGAGAAAAAGGCAGAATATGGTGAAATTTCTAGGAAGCAGACAAAATTGCTTGAGAATAAAAATACTACCAAAAGATCTAGTATGATTTAGTACTTGCGATGCTAGTGTAAAGCTTATTATTTTCTGTAATATGCAGATCTCTGTGACCGATGACTCTATCACTGAACTCTGTGTTGTACTCAAAACTATATTAAGATAGTGCTGGCTTTGGCAGCACATATACTAAAATTGGAACAATATGGGGAAGATTAGCATGGCCCCTGCACAAGGATGAGACGCAAATTCATGAAGCATTCCATATTTAAAACAAACAAACAAAAAAACCCTATATTAAGGTATCATCAAACAGTTGTCTAGTAATTGGCTGGCTTTTCTGACTATCATGTTTTTAAGAAAAGACACAGTCATATGCTCCAAATGGTTAGAATTTACTGTAGATGGGAAGCTTACCCTTAATGTGTGGAAGTAATATAAATCTAAATATGACATAACTATATATGCATGTACCTATAAGTATTCACATACACACATGAACATCTCACTCAAAAATTTTGAACTGAGATTTACAAAGGATACAAGATTAATTTTATGTGTTGGACTGACTGGACCATGAGGTGCTCAGATATTTTGTCAAACATTACTGGCGGTTTGTCTGTGAGGGTGTTTGGAAAGAGATTGATATTTGAATAACTAGACTAGGACCAATAAAGCAGTTTGCCCTCCCTGATGTGGGAACCCCCATCCAATCAGTTGAAGGGCTGAAGAGAAGAGAAAAGGCTGATCCTCCTGCAAATGAAAGGAAGTGCTTTCTGCCTGACTGATGAGCTAGGACACTGGTCTTTTCTTACCCTTAGACTTGAGCTGAAATATTGGCTCTTTCTGGTAGTCTCCAGCTCTGTCAGTTTTTGGATTTCAGATTAGAACTATACCATCATCTCTCCTGTGTCTATCGCGTCATGATTTCAGTCTTGGGAGCTCTCAGCCTCCATAATCCTGTAATGCAAATTCTTACAAGTCTTTTCTATGAGATTATATACCAATAAATATCATAATCACAAGACATAAATTCACAACCTGCACTTTTTATTTAATTCTTACAAGTAATAAACTTTGATTTTCTTGAAAACATGGCCATATCCAGGAACTTTCAGATCTAAATGTGTAAATAATATAGTTAACTGTACAGAATTTTTTTTCTTAGGGTTATAAATACCTGAGTGTGAGCAAATGGCTTTCTCAATCATTCACACTTTTTACAGAGTTCCTTCACTGCACGAGATAGGAATAATAAAGGATAGTGTTGATGAATTATTTTCATTGATAAAATTCTTCTTGAGAAGCTATGCTGCTCCAAGCACAGTTCTTTTATAAATTCCTTCTTCTTTGTTTTAACCACTATAGCTTTAATTCAGGCTTAATGGCCTGTTATATACTTTTCTAATCTGAAATGGTTTCCCCTTGTCAGTCTTATTATTTTTCACACTACTGGCAATTATCTTTCTAAGAGCAAAGCTGAATGCTATTTTTTGCCTTACAATGGCTTACCATTGCTACAGCATTCATTTACAAATTTTTGAGGAATAACTTCTTTCACTAAAGAAAAACATCTTTCACACACACCCTGCTCAAAGGTATAATATGCAGACACACACAAAGGGAGGTTTGCATGTGTAATGTCTTACACACACTATAAAAAACAAAATCAGAAATTGCTCAGAAGAGAAAAATAAATGTAATAAAGAGTTACAATATGTCTTACATGCTCCTTCTCCTAAATCTTACTTGGTGTTGAAACAAATACATAAAATTGCTCTAATAACTTGTAATTACAAGCTAAGATTCAAGCAGATCTCCAGTCATATTTTTAAAGACTTGAGTAATTTAAAAATTGGTTTAAAGGACTCTCTGTGAGTACAATTCAGGTTACTGAAAGAGACAAATGTATGTCACTCTGGAAAAAACAAACAAACAAACAAAAAAACCAAAAAACCCTTTATCCCAGTCTTCAAAGAATTCTATTGAATGTGAGCTGCTTATTTTCTGTTTCAGAAAAATGACGAGCTCACAGTCAAGAACTACAAAATAATTAGGAAGATATGATGTGAGAGAGCAGGGTAACAGAGACAGCTGACACAGAACTGCAGAGATCCAAATATTAGAATTTTAGACACAGTTTGCAAATTATCTGTTATTGGAGATGTTTCCTTTTTTACATTTTATAAAACCTATAAACTGTTAGGTCTTATACAATGTAAAATTGGAAAAGCTACATTACCAAATAACAAACTCTTTAAAGGACATATTTGGAAAACATTTATTTATTTAAAGTAATTAATTAATAATAAAGAATTCATATTTGAAATAAAAAACTCCATGAATAGGTTTGAAAATGGATTAGACAGAGTTGAAGGGAAAATTAATGAACAGAATTACATTATAAATAAATTATCTAAAGTAACAGCAACTCTACACTTAACTGTAGATACATAGACATTGGGGGTACTTTAGTAATAAGATATTTGAAAAATGAGTTAAGAAACCAGGCATATTTTCTAGCATGTTCAAGTTAAATCCAATCAAAGTTCCAAAGAATAATTTAAAAAAAGAGAGAGATGCAGAAAAATTTGAGTATGTTTAACCACAAGTAAACATATATTAACTATCCCTCTGCTGAAACTTTACAACCTCTTGTGCTTCTCGTTTTACAATTACGATTGCTCTTTATTACCTATTTTTGCATTTACCTCATTCCCCATTCCCTTTGCTACACATTAGATGGTGAGTGTTTAGTTATCCAGGTCTGTGCTGTTCTCACGTTGCCGTTCCTGTTCATCCCTAACACTGTGTCTTGTATTTAGTCAGGGCAATAGATTGACGTGTGTTTTGTTTTTCTAATGTAATTTAATTTTTGTAGGATGGACCACCATTGGCAAGTCTCAGTTGTAAAGCTCTGTGTGACCAGTTGTTCTCAGTATTTCTGTGAGGGAGGGGACATTGTGGGCACCGGAAGACTGGTGATATTCTAGCATGGCTGTTGAGGTCCTGATTCTTCACTGTTGCCTACGTGTATCTTACTGGGCCATGCTGACTTCATTCTAATCTCTTTGATTTACTTGCAATGTAACATATATTGCATCTTTACAGAAAGAGATATTTTTAATTTCTAGTGTTTTGGAGGTTAATGCAATGATTAAGCTACATAAATTGCATAAAACATTTAAGTACATTTCTCAGAAAAAAGTACGCATTTCATATTTGTATGTAGTACATGATGTTTAAGATTTAATTAGGACAAATTTCATGACTATATTATAAATCTGTCAATATGATTCCAAAATAAAATACTTCAAGCATATAGATAAGTATTGCAGATAATAATTGACCATTTTGTCAAGTCTTAGAATGTTTACCATGCATTTTTTTAAGCCAACATATGTTCCATCAAATGGGATCACTTCAAAGAAAACCCTCACTCTGTTTTAACTACAAAAACATGAACAGTGCTACCATAATAGACTCTGGAAAATATTAAACATTATTAAAGATGACATTAGGTTATATTACCTTTTTTAGCCTAAGGAGAGAACTAGTATCTATTTAATACTATGAAATAGCCCATTGCTTAATCATTGACTTGTTCATGTACTTTTATATAACTACCTGTATTTAAGCACCAGACATTTATATTTTGGGGAAATCTGTCTGTAATTTTTGCTAAAATTACAAGAATGTAAAGATGAATACAATTTTTAGAAAGTTGTCTGCAAATATACCACTCAATTTTATATAATTGTAGATGACAAATGTTGAGGTTCAACAAATAATATGCTTTCTATGTGTATTAAATTGGGTATCAAAAAGAGGTAGAGTTATGCCAGTGGGAAAAATACATGTATTTTGATAATTTACTAAAACAACAATAAGATGGTACTAATCTTATCTTTTAACCACTGAGTCATTGCTTCCAGCCTAGCTTGTAATATGTCAGAACAAGCATGACACTTTCTGAAATCCCCAACAGATGATCACAGTAATGCTTGGGAATTCAGAGAATTAAACATTTCAGCATAGTGCCTCAGTGCTGAAGTTGTTCAAGTTACTAGTCATTGAAAAGTTGTAAAATAGCTAAAGTTTCTTTTTTCATGCACTAATTTTTTTTCTTTTTTAGAAACAGGGTCTCACTATGATTTCAAACTCTTGGCTCTAAGCAATCCTCCTGCCTCAGCCTCTCAAGTTGCTGGGATTACAGCCATGAGCTGCCACACAGGGTTTAAACTACTTTAATGAGGTTCAGTTGATGCACATAAAGTTATACATGTTTATTCTGATGGACTTGGAGATAAGTACACACTCATGAAACTATCACTACAATCTATGCCATAAACATATAGTTTCCCACCACCTGAATTTTTGTATGTATGTATTTATTTTTTGTGATAATACTTCAGCAAAAGTTTAAGTGTACAGGGTAGTCATAAAGTTCATGTGCAATTTTGCAGCAAAATTTTAAGCATACAATACTGTATTGTAAACCATAAGCACTATATTGTAGCTGGTGTTTAATCTCTAGGACTTATTCATATTACATAAATGAAATTTTGTACCATTTGATTAATACCTTTCACTTGCTTCTCTCTCCAGTCTTTGGCAATCACTATTCTCTCTGTTTCTAGGAGCTTGACTATTTTAGATTTCTCATATAAATATATTACATAATATTAGTCCTTCTATGTCTTCCTTATTTCACTTAGCATAATGTCCACAAGGTTTTTCAATATTAGAAATGGCAGATTTTCCCTTTTTTGGCTTATTAATATTCTTTTGTAGGTATATACCACATTTTCTTCTTTCATTCATCCTCTGGTAAACAGTTAGGCGCACCTGTGCTTTGGCTATAGTGAATTATGCTGCAATGGATGTAGGTGGGCAGCTATCTCTTTGCAAGCCTGTTTTCATTTCCTTTGGATATTGACCCAGTTATAGAATTGTTGGATCATATAGTAGTTCTGTTTTTAATTTTCTGAAGAACTCTGCATTGTTCTGTATAGTAGCTGCACCACTTAGCACTCCCACCAATAGTTTCCAAGGCTTCCCTTTTCTTCACATCCTCATCAATATTTCTTAGTTTGCAAATGACATGATCTTATATGCAGCAAACCTATAAGACTGGAATCACACATAAAAAATTTCTGATAAAATTTATAAACAAATTTTACAAAGTTGCAGGATCAAAAAAATCAACAAGCAAAAGTAAGTTGTGTTTCTATACACTAATGGTGAACTATCTGAAAAAGAAATTAAGACT